AACAAAACAAAACAAAAACTTCAGCCAAATTAAATTTAAAGGAGTTTAACTGAGCAATGAACGATTCATGAATCGGGCAGCCCCCAGAATCACAGCAGATTCACAGAGACTCCAGTGCAGCCACATGGTGGAGGAAGACTTATAGACAAAACAAACAAAAACAAAGAATATGACATACAGAAATCGGCAGTGAGGTACAGAAACAGCTGGATTGATTACAGGTTGGCGTCTGCCTTATTGGAACACAGTTTGAACACTTAGCTATCTATGAATGAAGTATGGCTGCTGGGATTGGCCAAGACTCAGATATTGTAACAGGCACATACTCCTAAATTAGGTTTTCTTTTTTTTTTTTCTTTTTTTTTTTTTTTTTGAGACAGAGTCTCACTACGACACCCACACTAGAGTAAAATGGAGCAATCTGGGCTCACTGCAACCTCCGCCTCCCAGGTTCAAGCAATTCTCCTGCCTCAGCCTCCTGAGAAGCTGGGACTACAGGTGTGTGCCACCAAGCCCGGCTAATTTTTGTATTTTTAGTAGAGATGGGGTTTCACCATATTGGCCAGGCTGGTCTCAAACTCCTGACCTCAAGTGATCTGCCCACCTCAGCCTCCTAAAGTTCTGAGATTACAGGTGTGAGCCACCACGGCCGGCCACTCCTAAGTTAGGTTTTCAATTTTGTCTGACTATTAAGCTAGGTTACGGTTCATCCACAAGGACTCAAATATAGAAGTATGGAATCTTTCTCAGGCCATTTTAGTTTGCTTTAGCAGTACCCTTTATGATAAACCATAAATGTAAATAGAGTGTTTTTCTGAGTTCTGTGCCCCATTTTAGAAAATTATTGCACATGAGGAGATGATTGCACCCCAACTTACAGTGGGTGGATCAGAAGCACAAGAGGCCTGGACTTGAGACTGGCATCTTTGGTGGGAGCAGTCTTGTGGGAATGAGCCCTTAACTTGTGGGATCTGACCCAAACTCCAGGTAGATAGTGTCAGAATTGGACTGTAGGACACCCAACTGGTGTCAGAGAATTTTCAGTGTGGAAAAAACCCTGTACACCTGGTGTTAGCAGTGTTCTGTGTGACAGTGTAGAGAGACAGAATGTGTTTTATCAGACAGTGAGATAATAAATGTGTTTTGCTTTCAGCCACTAAATTTTGGGTTAATTATTTTAAATTTATTTTTTGAGACAGAGTCTTGCTCTGTCACCTAGGCTGGAGTGCAATGGCACGACCTTGGCTCACTGCAACCTCCACCTCCCAGGTTAAAGCGATTCTCTTGCCTCAGTCTCCTGAGTAGCTGGGATTACAGGTGCCCACCACCATGCCTGGCTAATTTTTGTATTTTTAGTAAAGATGGGATTTCACCATGTTGGTCAGGCTGGTCTCGAACTCCTGACCTCAAGTGATCCTCCTGCCTCAGCCTCCCAAAGTGCTGGGATTACAGGCGTGAGCCACCACGCTTGGCCTTAAAATGTATTTTTAATTGATACATAATAATTATATATAGTTATGAGGCTGGAATAAGTTTTACACAGGAATAGATATTAAATACACCTCCCTTCTTAAAACTACTCTCCCATGAATTTCCACAACTGCTTTTCATCCCAACTCCATCTCTTGCTCTCTTTCCTTTGTGGGCTCTTCTACTATTGCTGTTTTTCAGCTCCTGCTGTTTCTCCAAGGTCTTCTCTTCATCTCTGTATACATTTTCTTGCTGTCTCATCCATTCAAATGCCATCTATAAGCCAGTGATCCCTCAAGTTTATATCTGTGGCTCTCTGGAGGACCAGACCCATATATTCAACTGCCTAAAGGGAATTCCCACCTCGACATTGGTCTCACAAGACACGGACTCAGCACGTCCAAAAAGGAACTTGTCACTTCCCATCAGACCCTGTATCCTTCTGTGTTTCCTGCCTCAATGAGCCACAGTCACCCGGTTGCTCAAACCAGAAACCTGAGAGTTGTCTTTATTTGTTTTTTCAACAAATATTGATGGAGCACCTATAATGTGCCAAACTGCTTTAGGCTCATGGATAGTGACATTCCTGTGGGAGACAGACAATGAGGATAATCGACTATAATAGTATGTTAGAGTGCTGCACACACACACACACACACACACACACATACACACACCCCATACACACATCTCACAATAAGTGCTATGGGGAAAAATTGAGCAGGCAGAAGAATGCATATCAAGGTACATGAGTTGTAATATTAGGTGGTGAGAACAGACCTCTCCAAGAAGGAGACACTTGAAGAAAGAGAGGTCTATGCTATGTGAATATTTGAGAGAAGAGCATTTCAAGAGGGGGCAGTGAGTGCAAATGCCTTGACCAGAGTCTTAACTGGGGGTTTGGGGAACAGCAAGGTGGCCAGTGTGGCTGGAACAGAGAGAGAAAGAGGAAGATTTTTAGTGATGAGGTTAGTGAGGTACCCAAGTCCAGGTCATGGGCAGCATTCTTGGCCATTGTAAGGAGCCTGGGCTTTACTCTGAGTACAACAGGAAGCTGTGGGAGGGTTTGCAGTGGAGAAATCACATGATCACTCTGGTTACTATCTTTAGAGTAGGTTGTAGAGAAACGATTCATCTCATTTTTATCTCTTAACCCCCAACTCCTACTTTTCTCACTAAACCCCATTTATTTTACCTCTTAAATATATCTTGAACCCATCTACTTCTCTTAATTTCTATCGTAACTACCCAAGTCAACAGCATCCTTCATTGAATGATTCATTCATTCATTCATTCATTCAATGAATACTTACTGAGCAGCTATTATGTTCCAAGCACTATTCCTATTCTCCATGCTTGGAACAAGGCAATGAAAAAAAAAAAAAAAAAAAAAAAAAAAAAAAAAAAGAAAAGAAAAGAAAAGAAAAAAAAGAAGAGACTAGCCTGTATGGAGGCTACATTTCTCCCTCGGATTTATTGCTTTTTAAAGAACTTGACTTCTCTTAAGTTGTCTTAGGAACTTATTTGGTTACTTGCTCATTGTATCCTCTCCTCACCAAAGTGTAAATGTTGTGAGATCAGGCACATTATCAATTTTGTTCACCAGCCATATTCTCAGTGCCTAGAATAGCACCTGTTACATAATATGTACTCAATAAACACTAATTGAATGAACAAAATACTGCAACAGACTCCTAATTGGTCTGTTTCCAGTGAATTTTAAACTTTCTTTGACTTTGACCCACAGTAAGAAAAATATTTTGTGCTGTAACCTAGTAACACTTACACACATGCATGCATGCTTATAGGTGCATATGTAAAATTAAAAGTATTGTTATGTGTGGTGCCATCTGATTGTATGTGAAGCTGTCTGACACTATTTATTGTATCCTATTATGTTTTACTGAAAAAAACCCTGCCAGTTACAACTTTAAGAAAATTAAAAAAAATTTTTTTTGAGACGGGGTCTCACTGTGTTGCCCAGGCTGTGATCATGTGATTTCTCCACTGCAAACCCTCCCACTCTTGAACTCCTGGGCTCAAGTAATCTTCCCATCTCAGCTTTCCCAGTAGCTGGGATTGCAGGTGTGCACAACTGCACCCAGCACAACTTTAAATTTGATTTCAGAATCCACTCATGCGACTTAACTAGAAGTTTGGCAAATACTGTCCTTATCTATTCTCCACAACCAGTGTTCTTTCTAACCTATAAGTATTCTTATGCGACTTCCCTACATAAAAGCTTTCCATGGCAATCTGTCAGCCTCAGGCATTTTTGCCCAAACATCAGTCATTCATGGTTATTCATGTACCAACTATAATCTAGGTAGTATTCTGTCTGTCAGTTGAATTACTTTTGTCACTCAATCTCATCCTAAGCAATAATATAAGCCATGTGTTGGGTGTATGAAATATATATATATATTTCTATGCATGTTCACTCCATTAACTACAAAAATAAAAAACTGTATTCTGTGTACCATCTAAGATCTTCTTATCATCCAGCCACATTTTGGGAAAGCCTGTTCTTGGGATAAAGGAAGGTCAGATGCCTCAACTAAGTCCACAAGGCACTCTGGAGCTTGCCGGTGCTTTCCACTGCAGTATCAATTTTATTTTTCTTTTTTACCACTTCCTGCATGCATTCATTCGGAACGACTCACAGGTCCCTGAACACATTGAGCTCTCTTTGGCACTAGGACTCTGCACATGCCATCTTCTTCCTCTGCTCAGGACTCCACCAGTACCACCCCCTTTCATGTCTCAGCTAAAATGTCACATTGGGGAAGCTGTCCCAGCCCCAGGCTGCATAGGTCCTCCTCCAGCGTCTGGTGCTCATCTCTACATTAGAATGTATCACCCTGCAGTGAAGCAGCTTATTCACCTGTTTTACTCCACTAACTGATGGTTGTAAGCTTCTGGGCTAGAAGAGTATTTCATTTCCCATAGTATTTCTGGTATTTGGTATAGTACCAGATATTCGATAACAATTTGTTTGATGAATAAAAAAACAGATGTACGGATTTCTCAATGGACTGAATATCCCTGACACTCAGCTCATTGCCTGACACATACTAGGTATTCAAAAACTACGATTGAGCAATTGAAAGGAGGGCTCATTCTCACCCTAGTAACATTATCTATTTACTTATTTATTTTTTGAGATAGAGTCTTACTCTGTCACCTAGGCTGGAGTGCAACGGTGATCATAGCTCACTGCAGCCTGACTGCCCAGGCTCAGGCAACCCTCCCACCTCAGCCCACCAAGTAGCTGGGACCACAGGCATGCACCACCACACCCGGCTAATTTTTTGTATTTATTGTAGAGTTGGGGGTCTCCCTATGTTGCCCAGGCTAATCTTGAACTCCTGGGCTCAAGTGATGCTCCTGCCTTGGCCTCCTGAAGTGCTGGGACTACAGGTGTGAGCCACTCCACCTGGCCATGTTATCTTTTAAAAAAAATTATTCAAGAGGTGATCTCAAGTTCCAATGTCTTTGCCTTTGTGATATTATTCTCTCCTTTCTGCCAGGAAAGAAGTCAGAAATGAGATCAAAATATGTATCTGTGGCGTAAGAGACTTTTGGTTCCTCCAAAAACAAGCCTGCTATGACAGAAGACAAAGTCTGTAGGAAAAATCACAGCCCACTGGGGATTATATCTGTTCTTGTTTCTCTTAACGTGTAGTAGCTATAAAGTAAACATTAAACATCTGAATTAACATTAAACCCATACTTTGTGTATGCTTTCAATATATTTATTGTTACTATGTATTCAGATTTTGATACCATTATCTTCCTTTTCCGAGGTTCTAGAACACAACTTATGTGATTTTTAAAGACTGATGGTAACACTGTTTCTTACAACAGTCTGTGCCATAGGTATATATAATAAAGGTTTTATGGCAATTAATTTGTATTCAAATACTTTATTTTTCTTTTCTATAATAGCTCTCCTATCTGGCATTTTGGGGAATGTAGTATTTTGGATAAATGGAGCTTCCAGGATTAATTAACGTTAATCTTGTTAACAGCAAAACATTAAGAGGCTGGGTGTGGTGGCTCACACCTGTAATCCCAGCACTTTAGGAGGCCGAGGAGGGAGGATCACCTGAGGTCAGGAGTTCGAGACCAGCCTGACCACCATGGAGAAACCCCATCTCTATCAAAAAATACAAAATCAGCCAGGCATGGTGGCACATGCCTGTAATCCCAGCTACTCGGGAGGTTGAGGCAGGAGAATTGCTTGAACCTGGGAGGTGAAGGTTGCAGTGAGCCGGGATAGCGCCATTGCATTCCAGCCTGGGCAACAAGAGAGAAACTCTGTCTTAAAAAAATAAATTAATTAAAAAAAATTTTAAAAAAAGATGGAAACTTTCTCAATATACTGCACACTTCCCTGGCTTTTTAAACAAAATGCCCCAAATATGAACAGTCTTTGCCTACTTGGGGCTCTCCCTTGGGATATCAGTTATTTGGGTGTCCTCTGTACAGGAAGTTTAGGGGTGGGCACAGGCAGACTTAGATTATGTGTGCCCTGAGGCTAGATGGTTAATGACTAACAGTGACAGTGCAACTTATTTTCTTACAAACAAAACGAAACCCCAAATCAGCTATTTTATGCGCTGTCTCATATGCCCCACCCTACAACCACCCCCTTTTTATTATAAGGGAAAAATGAAGCTTATGTAGCTGCCTAATTTTCTTTGAGAAAGTGCAAAATGGTTACCTTTAGGAAATATCAACTAGTGAAAGAAAAGGTAAAATGGTCTCCTCCCACCAGAAAGTTATCTATTTTATCACTGTCATATCATTCACTACCACTGCTGCATATCATTTTCACCTGATTTTCAACTTGCATTGCTCTTCAACCTTACTTGCTTATATTTTGTTCATGGAGGGTGGAGATTATTCTGCAATCATTACAAGATGTGTGTGTGTTGGAAAGGACTTGCCTCAAAGCTTACACTTTTTTAATGATCAGGAGATAAATGCTTCTTTCAATGTGAAAGTCCTGCATAATGTTTGATCTTTGTAAAGAATTTCATGTGTAGATTTTTAGATGTATAAACCTGGTGGAAAAGTATTATTTTGGTATCAGAAAGATACACCAATCTGTAGGCTACATCAGTGTGGGAACCCAAAGCACCCCTGATATCCTTCTATGTGATCACAGCACATAATGCTGAAATTGTCTCACCTTTTATCTGCCTCCTCCATTATTTATTTTATTTCATTTTAAAAATTTTTCTTAAGACAGTGTCTCACTCTGTATGCCCAGGCTGGAGTGCAATGGTGTGATCATAGCTCACTGCAGCCTCAACCTTCCAGGCCCAAGTGATCCTCCCACTTCAGCCTCCCAAATAGCTGGGACTACAGGTGCCACCATGCCCAGCTAATTTTTTGATTTTTTGTAGAGATGGAGTCTCACTATGTTGCCCAGGCCGGCCTCCGGCTCCTGGGCTCAAGCGATCCTCCCACCTCCCAAGGTGCTGTGATTACAGGCTTGAGCCACTGTGCCCGGCTTCCTCCATTAGTTTACAGCTTCTCATGAACTTAGAACATGTCTTAATCTTCTTTGAACCCTAACACTGGGTTCTTACATAGCCACATACTTTTCTTCAGGAAGCGTAAAATGGTTGCCTTCGTGAAAAATCAAGTAGGAAAGAAAAGGTAAAACAGCGTTAACCCCAATGCTTAATTATTGTGTCTCTGCCTGTTTTGACCTTTTCCCCATATCTTCCTGTGTCCTCCAAACCATAGTTATTGCACAGCTGATGGGCTTCAGTGCAACCCTGTATCTGTTTTACCCCTTTTGTGGTGCCATTTGTAGCACTTGGCATGTGGGTTTTAAATAAATATTTAAGCCAAATATTGGCAAGTTAAAAGATAGTAATGGAGGGAAAATGAACCCTCTTTCTCTGTGTTGAATTGCTACATATAACAGGGTAGTTTTGACATACTTTGATGAGTCCAGAACTCTCACATGCTGTTTAATTCCAATCATATTAAGACAGTAAAAACAAGAAAGAAAAAAATCATTTCTGCATTATATTGCACCATCTTGGCAATAAGCAAATTGTGAGATCTCTGTAACACTTTGGGATGATACAAATTGTCATTATTTCTCTCTTATGAAAACCCACAGCTTTAATACATGAATAGTTAACTTGTCTTCATTCTGGTTAAACTTTGGGAAAGAAGAGGTAGGCACTTGATTCACTGGTGTTGGCTGGATAGAAAGTAGCAAGCATCCTTACAATAGACCAATGTCATCAGCCCATCAGCCTTATAAAATTGTTCAGGCAAAGATTATGCTCAGAAATAAAATATCTGAATAATGGCAGTTTTTTTTTTTTGCAGGTTAATTTTTTTCCTAGTGTCATCTACCTATTGTATACCCTTTTTATTCCCCATGGTAAACATTCTGAGTTATTTTCCCATCTAAATCATTTCTCTCATCACTTTTTTTTTTTGTCTTTGTATAGTTTCTATTCTTTTCCTCACCCCAATCCACTTGTAGAAACTAATGTCTTTTCTCTATTGAATTTTATGTTTAGGAAATTTGCTTCATATTACCTTTAGGTTATTTTAAATAGTAATAATAGCAACTACAATATCAACACCACATAGAACATTTAACTATGTGTCAGTTATTGTTCTGCTTTACATTGCCAGGTGTGGTGGTTCATGCCTGTAATCCCAGTATTTAGGGAGGCCGCGGTGGGAGGCTCACTTTGAGGCCAGGGGTTCAACATCAGCCTAGGACAATACTGCCAGATTCTATTGCTGCAAAAAATACAAAAACCAGCCAGGCATGGTGGTGCACACTTGCAGTCCCAGGTACTCAGGAGGCTGAGGTGGGAGGATCGCTTGAGCCTGGGAGTTTGAGGCCGCAGTGAACCATGATTGTACCACTGCCTTCTAGGCTGGGCAACAGAGACCCTGTCTCTAAAATAAATAAACACTAAGCTACTCCATGTTATTAATATTTAATAGCCATAATATCCCTAAAAAGAAGGTATTATTCTTAGTTCCATTTGCTAGATGGGGCACTTGATAGCACAGAGAGGTTAAGTAACTAAGATTGCAAAGCCAGTAAGTGGTAGTCAGGATTCAAACCCTGACTTCACTTGACTTCAGCTGCAGAATCTGTGGACTTAATCAACAGACTAACCTCTAGGCACTAGTAGATACCATCCTTATATTATTTTATTTTTTCCTTACCCACTAATATCATCCTGGCCCAAGACCTCATTTTCACTCATTCTTGTGTATCTTGGCATCTCGGTGGTGTCTTCCCTTGTGCTCCTCTAAACCATAGTTATCTCACAGCTGATGAACTTTAGTGCAACCTAGTACCTTCTTTACATGCTTCTAAGAGGTGCAGGGTTTGTTGTCTCAAACTCAAGAAACTACCTACACTCTATATCCTAAGTAGGAGACAGTAGGCTATTCATTAATTTTACAATATATCAGTGATCTGGGATGCCCTTTGCGCTCCAGCGGAGGGCTAGGTAAGAGAGAATAAACAAAAAAGCTAAGAAATTTCTGGCAAATAACCTTTCACCTAGGTCCCCAAACCTTCCATTTCCCCAGGCCTGAAGCATATCTGAAGCAGGAACTCAGGGGGAAACGTCCCGGGAAAAGAACTCCTTTAGGAATAGGAAAAGCCATGTTTTTCTGGGTACAGTAGGAATGATGCAGTAGAGGCAGGCCTAAACTGTAGCAAAGCTATGAATTTAGAGCTTTGCAAAGAAAAGGACAAGTTTATCCTTAAGGTAGAACCAGCTTTGACAAATGGCTAGTGCTGTAGGGAGCCACAAGGATACAGAAGACAGAACTTCCATCTAGTCCTGAGTCTGAGAATATTAGAAAAAAGGAAGCAAAGATGTTACTAGAGGAGGGTATGAAGACCCGGTGAAGTCTTTGCAGGAAACAGATGGAAGCACATTCTTCTCCTGGAAGGAGTGCAAAGACCAAGCCTCAGACCTAATTCCAGAGCCAGAAAAGAGGAAAGAGGCCTTAGAGCCCCTGAGAATCTCACTCGTCAGAACAGTGGTTCCAGCCTCTGTGGGTTAGGTAACATCAGGGAAGATATATTGTGGGCTATGGGCTTAAACTGGCCCACAGGCCTGTTTTGTCTGACATACTTTTGTGTTCTTAAAAAAAAAATGCAATGAGTTGTCAACATTTAATATTTGGGAGATTTCACCCCAAAACTCAGATTCCTGACTTCTCTTGATTTCCTAAATATCACATTCCCACTTGGAAACCATCAGCTGCAAGTGGCTGTGCCCTTTAGATTTGCTTGAGCTGTGGACCCTTATGTTTAGGTTAAAACATCAATCTCAAAAGTTTACATGCTATATGATTCCACTTACATAACATTTTTGAAATGATGAAAATACAGAGATGGAGAATAGATTAGTGGTTACTAGAGGACAGGCATGGAGTTGGGAGAGCAGTTGCAGTAGGGAGGGGGATTTGTGAATACAAAAAGGTAGTATGAGGGAGTTATTTTGTGGTGATGGAACAGTTCTATGTCTTGATTATAGGAGTGGTTACAAGGATGTGTAAATGAGGCAAAGTTGCACTGAAGTACACACACACACACACACACACACTAAACAGAACACAGGTTAAGAAAATGGCAAATAATACATTCTGTAGTCTAGTAAACAGTAATGTACTGTTGTCGGTTTCCTGGTGTGAAAGTTGTCACAATCAAAATGGAGTCACTAATGTTAAGAAACCCTGACAAATAGAGCTAGGGAAGGCTACGAAAGACAGGGTTCTTACATTTGTATGCTTGATAACAAAAACTATCAAAAAAGACTGCAAAAACCACAACCTTGCACAAAGGCCATCACAACCTTACACAAAAAAATACTTCTGCAAGGACATCTGCCCAGCAAATGCCTGTCCAACCTCGGACTGGCGTCACCCTTGTTATTGATCTTTATAGTCAAGGATAATTATTTCAAAACAATTATGTAATCCTTTCCATTTTTTCCTTTAAACACCTTTGTCTATGCAGACAGTTAACTATGAGATGCATATTTTCATTGCAATGCTCTATTCCCAAATAAACATTTTCTTTTAGAAAGCCTCTCTGTTATTTAGGTTGACACTGGTTTTGATGTTTTACTAGAGCTTTATAAGATGTCACCATTGGGGGAAGCACGGGACTCTGGACTGTTTTTGCAACTTCTTGTGAGGCTATAATTATTTCAAAATAAAAAGTTAAAAAAAAAAAAGGAAAAGTAAGTAGGCTGAGTACCCATGGGTGGTGTTTAGGGAAATGAGCAAGAGGAGCATGGAGAGCCAACCTGAAGCTGAGAAGTTTCTCCAGTTTAACTTATAAAGGACCTAAACTTGCTTCTCACCATTGCTTCTGCTGTTACTATCCCTGTAGTGCTCTTTATTCTGCCCATTTTAGACAGCTGTTTCTCTATTGCTTCTTCATTAGGCTGCTGAGCAGAGACCTAGATCTATTCCTAAGAGCAAACCAGTTATTAGTTTTCCCACTGCCTAATACTGAGTCGGGTTCCTTGCTGCCAGAGGTGTTTTTTATTATGACATCTGAATTTGATGCCATTGCAGGTGCTAGAAGTTGCCAGAAGGCTGTCCTCCAGATAACTGTCCCTTGGCTCTAACTTGTATCACTGTTTTGTTGCAATTAACATTCAGAATATGCGCAGTCATCTTATTAAAATTTGTATTTTTTAATGGGAAAAGCACACAGAGAGATTGTAGAGCTGTGGTTTACTCTTTCTCTTAGTTACCTGTGTCTAAATTAAGCTGAACCTCTGGGCCTTAGCTATTTCTAAACAGGCATCACAATTTACTAAGGTTAATGCCTGAGGGAACATTAACCTTGCAGACACTAATCTAATTCAGTGTCATCACAAGTGCATAATGCAGGAGTTTGGAGTTTTGCCAAAAAGCACTATTCAAATGAACATTTAGTTGGCAAGGGGTGGGAAGGTGGGTGTGGAAAAGGGAAGGAGGACACCAGAAATGGCTCTATAGATATTTTCATGCCTTTTCTTTTCCCTCTCCCCTCAAAGGTTACGTTTAAGTACCGCAGAGAAGTGCTAAATGGAATCTTCAGATTATTATGAAGAAACCGCAATGAAGGCGTTTTATCCCAACTGCAAGTTCCAGATGCTCACAATTACTCAACATTCACTGAGCATCTTTTATGTTATATGGCTGACCTTGTGCTAAGGTGGGTACACAAAGATGAATAATTGTAAACGATGGCAGTATGCACAAGCACCTCAGGGCGCCTAATGTTAGGTGATGAAGGCACCATTAAGGAGGTCACAATTTGGCTCAAGGGCCCCCAAAGGATGAGACAACTGTGTAATCCTAGCTCTATAGAGATCATTACCAAGTCTTTGCCATACAAAGTTTGGGCTTCAGGTGAAATGAGAAGGGCAAAGTTCTGCCCAAGAGGGTCCAGGGCCGGATCTCTTGATCCGTCTCTATGCCCACACCCTGCATCTTAGCTTGCGGACACTAACAGGGTTTGCCAGTTTCAAGGACGCAGGGCTACGTCTGCCGGAAAAGGTGGCATTTGAAGGTGGCAGAGGCCAAACACTGGAGGTGGCGGCGGAGGACTAGTTAAGAGAGAATAAGTGAAAAAGCCAAGATATTTCTGGCAAATAACCTTTCATCTAGGTCCCCGACCCTTCCATTTCCCCAGGCCTGAAAAGCTCCCGAATCCCCGAGTCCTCCACTTCTCTGAACGCTGGGCATTGGTTAAGGCTGAAGGAGCAGGGAGTCCCCCGCTCTAAGACAGTTCCTCAGTTCCGATCTTTTTCAAACCGCTTTCTTCCCGGGCCCAGCCTGGTGGGCCTGCAGCTCGGGTCCAGCTTCCACGGCCACCCTGGGCTGGTGACACGCAGGCGCCGGAATCGAAGCCACGCTGTGTCTTCCCAGCCAGGTCTCTGCGCCAGACGAGGGCGGGCGCCGCGGAGCGCTTCCCGTGTGCGGGGCTTCCCACAATGCACCGGGCCGGCAGTGGCGGCGACCGCGGCGGCGCTCTAGCTGCGGCATGTCTGCGTCTCTACTGCTCTGGGAGGAGGAAGAGAAGGAGGAAGAGGAGGAGGAGGAGGAGGGGGAGGAAGAGGAGAAAGGCGCAGGGGTGGGAGCTGTTGCCGAAGCTGCCACAGCAAAAGTTCTTCCCCCTCCCCCCTTCCCCTCCTCTCAAGGCCCCTAGAAAGGTTGGAGCTGCCGCCGCCTGCAGTCGGTGACCGCGCGACTCGGCGCCCGCCCGCGGTAAAGCGCTCGGCCTGGCAGGCCCGGGCCCGGGGGAGGGCGGGGGAGGGGGAGGGGGCGGCGCGCGGGGGGAGCGCGCGGCGGTAACGGCCTGACCCCGGGGGGAGCGAGCCGTGGCGAGGCTGGGGGTGGCCAGGGGGCCGGCCGAGGCCGAGGGAAACGCTGGGGCTGGCCGGGGGACGTGAGGAAGCAGGGCGCGGAGGGTGGGTTGGGGGGTTGAGGAGGGATAATGACGGGGGTGGCGGAGGCGAGAAGGCGGCCTCCGAGGCTGGAGGCGGGTGTCAGAGGTAGGGGAGGAGGTGGGATGTTTGCACGGGGAGGACAGAGGGTGCTGGGTGTGGGTGTGAAAAGGCTGGGGAGACACCAGGGCTCTGTCCACCGTGCCTGGTGCAGTGCTTTATGCACCGCAGGCCTCAGTCACTGTTGCTGCCGGCGTGTGCTCTTTGGGAGAAGGGAAGGGCAGGGGTTGGAGAAAAGGGAATGCTTGCAGGAAACGTAGTGGGAGTGCGAACAGGGAGAGGGGCCGGAGGAAAGATGCCGGAGAGGTGGAGGAATGCGGGGAGGTGGCTGTGGAGGAGTCTTGAGGATTCTGGGGGGTGTTCATTGTGCAGATACGTTAGGTATTTCATTATGGAAATAACTGAAGCGTTTCTCAGGGAAGGAAAGAAGGAGATAGGAGTTCCTGTGAATAGAAAGGATCGCGTTTGAAGCAAGAGGGAGTGCTAAATAGTAGAGAAGATGCAGGGAATGCATAATAGAATAGACAGATGTAGTATAATTAATAAATATTGGCCTAAGGACTGAAGAGTTATTCCAGATGGGCCGGGATGGCCTAGTTCCGAACCTGTGTGGGCTCTTCAGTAGATGACATCTGGTAAGTGTGGGTCTGGGCTGTGGTTGGGGTCACTGAGAATTAGATTTTAGTCTGTAGTTTGGTCTGTGACATTTTAGACGTGCACCAATGAATATGAGAACCTCTGAAGCAGACCTTGAGAAAGGGCCGGGCCTGTGGGGATTCCTTAGGCCATGGAGCTTCGATTTTAGAAAATTTGAAGTATTAACACTTAACGGAGGTTGGGTAAATACTATCCTGGCAATTAAAATTAATTGACTTGGTGGTTTTCTTCACTGCCCAGTTTATCTGGTCCAGGAAAATTGGTGCTATTCAGCCTGGATTGCAGTACACAAGATTATAATTAATGGTGGGGGGAATACATACACATGCTTGGTGGCTCTTCTTTGGATACTTCATTTGTAGCTCAAATTAGTTTAGTTGGCTGGATTGGTTCCATAAATCTGTGGCTGGTGGGAGATCTTCTGCCATTCACAGTTCCTGATGTGAACTGTGAGGGAGTTCTCCAGTGAAGAGAATACTCTCATTGAGGCATAGTGGTATTGAAGAAAACATATCAGCCAGCAAAGTGTGGGCCTGCAGAATGGAGGATCTAGAATATCTGTTTTGGTTTTAGGTTGCAAGGAGGTCAGGACTAGTTATCATAAGGTCTAGGGGAACCTAGGAGACTGGATGACTCTAGAGCCAGGTTGGAGGGAGGATTAGCATCTCTATATCAGGAAATGAACCAAGCTGTCTCTGGATTTGCTGAGCTCACACTAGCCCAGATTTCCAAGCGGGAACTCTGGGCTAGAACCATACTCTTAAAAACTACCTGAGTATTATTCACCTTTTATTAAGAAAAAACTATATATACGGCCGGGCGCAGTGGCTCACGCCTGTAATCCCAGCACTTTGGGAGGCCGAGGCGAGTGGATCACCTGAGGTCAGGAGTTTGAGACCAGCCTGGCCAACATGGTGAGGGTCTCAAACTCCTGACCTCAGGTGATCCGCCCGCCTCGGCCTCCCAAAATGCTGGGATTACAGGCGTGAGCCACCGTGCCCGGCCAGATTTACTCATTCTTTTTTTTTTTTTTTTTTTTTTTTTGGAGACAGGGTTTCACTTTGTCCCCTAAGCTGGAGTGCGGTGGCTTGGATCATACCTCACTGCAGCCTTGACCTCCTGGGCTCAAGGGATCTTCCTACCTCAGCCTCTTGAGTAGGTAGAGCTATAGGCATGCATCACCATGCCCCGATAATTGTTTAGTTCTTTTGTAGAGATGAGGTCCCCCTATGTTGCCCGGGCTAGGCTCCAACTCCTGGCCTCAAGCAGTCCTTTTGTCTAGGTCTCCCAAGGTGCTATGGTTACAGGTGTGACACAGTGGCTTGGCTACTCATTCTTTTAAAGGACTTGCCCCCCTACCCCCCCCCCAACCCCTGAGTCTCGCTCTGTCACCCAGGCTGGGGTGCAGTGGCGTGATCTCAGCTCACTGCAACTTCTGCTTCTTGGATTAAAGCGATTCCCCTGCCTCAGCCTCCCGAGTAGCTGGGATTACAGGCATGCACCACCATGTCCAGCTAATTTTTGTATTTTTAGTAGAGATGGGGTTTCGCCATGTTGGCCAGGCTGATGTCGAACTCTTAGCCTCAAATGTTCCTCCCACCTTGGCCTCTCAAAGTGCTGGGATTACAGGTGTGACCCACCATGCCTTTCTAGGGCTTTTTTTGTTTTTTTTAAACATAGTATGCTGTACTCAATTGTATTGTCATCATGGCATGAGAGGGCTAGTCTTCCTTCCCTTTTCTCTCACCAGCACTGTATATTATCTGTTCTTTTAATTTTTGTAAGCAGAATGCCCTTAAATATGTCATTATTGTCTTTTACCCTTTAAAATTTTTAAAAAATTATTTATATTTTTTGAGACGGAGTTTCACTCTTGTTGCCTAGACTGGAGTACAGTGGCGTGATCTCGGCTCACTGCAACCTCCACCTCCCGGGTTCAAGCAATTCTTCTGCCTCAACCTCCCAAGTAGCTGGGACTAAAGGTGCCTGTCACCACCCCTGGCTAATTTTGTATTTTTAATAGAGATGGAGTTTCTCCATGTTGGTGAGGCTGGTCTCGAACTCCTGACCTCAGGTGATCCACTCGCCTCGGCCTCCCAAAGTGCTGGGATTACAGGCGTGAGCCACCGTGCCCAGCCTCTACCCTTTTATTATCAAATTTTTCTGAGGGAACTTATAATGAAAAACAGCCCCTGTCTCACCTGTCTATTGCAGTTCCACTTTACTGAGGCCACTACTTCTAAGCATTAATTTGTATTTCTTACCATGCTTTTTTCCATGTCTCCAAGTAATAGGCATATAATATTTCTTGATTTATCAAAATGACATTATCAGGGAATCAGAAGATGTCTACAAATGTGTCATTGACATTATCCCCTTTCTCCTCCTTTCTGACCTTTGATGGTTATTTTAGTTACTTTATTCGATGTATTTATATTTTTAAATAATATGCTTAAACCTTGATTTTAGAGTCCAACAATCTTAGGCTGTATCTCTTGACTTCCCCATTATATTATAGGGATTTAGCCTAGATACGGCTCTCCTGAAGTAGAAGGAACATTGACAATTATACTAAAAATGCTGGATGAGATGATAAAGGGAAGTTTGGATGGACCTATGAGAAAGACCATGTTGTAGGAACCATCTTTGCAGCATAAGATTTGCTTGTTAGAGATGAAGAGGAGTTGCTTGACAATGATAGTTGTTCATCTTGGAATTAGCAGATTGCAGTATTCTTTGACAGTCTTCTGGAGAGTTTTAGTGTGGGAAATCTGGAAATGCATTAAAATGACCCTTGAATGTTATTTCTAGGCTTCTATGGCATTTTTTTTTTTTGAGAGAGTGTCTTGCTGTCACTCAGGCTGGAGTGCAGTGGTGCAATCTCGGCTCACTGCAACCTCCGCCTCCTGGGTTCAAGCAATTCTCCTGCCTCAGCCTCCTGAATAGCTGGGACTACAGGTGCCCATCACCACACCTGGCTAATTTTTTGTCTTTTTAGTAGAGACAGGGTTTCACCTTAGATGGTCTTGATCTCCTGACCTCATAATCTGCCTGCCTTGGCCTCCCAAAATGGGATTACAGGCATGAACCACTTCGCCCTGCCCCCCCCCCCCTTTTTTTTTTTTTGAGACAGGGTCTCACTTTGTCACCCAGGTTGAAGTGCAGTGGCGTGATCTCAGCTCACTGCAGCCTCCACCTGGGCTCAAGCAATCCTCTTACCTCAGCCCCACAAGTAGCTGGGAATACAGGTGTGTGCCTCCACTCTCGGCTAATTTTTTTGTATTTTTTATAGAGACGGGGTTTCGTCGTGTTGCCCAGACTGGTCTTGAGCTCTAGAGCAGAGACTTCCTCTAGTCTCTAGGGAAACTCACAGCAGGTTGATTCTTGGGCTCAAGCGATCTGCTTGCCTCAGCCTCCCAAAGTGCTAGGATTACAGGCGTGAGCCACAGTGCCCGGCCACAATTCTTACGTTTTTATTTTTAGCGGGGGATGGATTGGCATGGACATGTATTTTTTGGGGGATGTGGTAGGGAGAGATGGGGAAATGTGGTAAGAGGAGGATGAGGAAGAGGAACAGGGTTTGATGGAGATGGTGATACATTTTGAGGAGGCTGAAGAAAAGGTAAAGAATTTTAAGGGGATTTGGATATAGTTAATGTGAAGGAGGTTTACCTTATGGTGATGAGACTAAAATTTTTGTCAATTTTAAGGAAATTAGCATGTTTAAGTCACTAATATGTTGGGAATGTGGTAGGAAGAAACTATACTGGGCTCGATCTCATATGTTAGGATAGAGTCATAAATTATTCGTGTTTTTGAAATTTGTGTATGAGGTGCAAATCACTGTGGTGGATATTCGGAGAATAAATATTGCTCCACTTCTTTTTGGGAGTCTAAGTAATGGCACCTCTTGAGAGTTTTCCTTACTTTCAGTGGCAACAGTATTCACAAGTAGTTTATGTATTGCTAAATTTTGTATTTGTGACAGTTATTCTCTTTGTTTTGCAAATGGTACATTGTAACCTGTTCTAGAGCAGAGACTTCCTATAGTCTCTAGGGAAACTCACAGCAGGTTGATTCTTAAGTGCTTAATAAATACCTGTTGAATGACTGATAGAAAGTAGTGTTCACTGTTAGCGATAATAGTGGGATTGTATGAAATTGCTGAGTACTGCGCGGGTATTGTAGACAAAATTGTGTGTGTGTGTGTTTGACAGCGTACAGGACAAAAGGGATATCTGACTGGAGAGGACCTTTAGATTTAAGGGAAGAAGATGGAATGGATTAGAATGGAATTGCAACAGTTCTGTAACAACTTCGAAGAGGTGGGACCGGGGGGGTCTCTTCTAAATTTGAGGCTAGTTTAATCTGGAGTAAAATCTGGTCTGTAGCAGGGTGCTGGTATAATTTAGACTTTTTTATACCTCAGACATAAATGACTGTTTTAGGACTGTCTGATTTAATTCTTTTTTAGAAGAGTAAAAATAACATAAGCTTCTTCTCTCAAGGAAGTTATAGTATTCACAATTTTTTTGTTTTTGAGATGGGGTCTTGCTCTGTCGCCCAGCCTGGGGAGCAGTGGTGTGATCTCAGCTCACTGCAGCCTCTGCCTCCTGGGTTCAAACAATTCTCCTGCCTCAGCCTCCCAAGTAGCCGAGATTACAGGAGCGTGCCACCATGCCTGGCTAATTTTTGTATTTTTGGTAGAGGTGGGATTTCACCATGTTGGCCAGGCTGGTCTTGAACTCCTGACTTCAGGTGATCATCCTACCTTGGCCTCCCAAAGTAGTATTTACATTCTTTTGAGAGAGAAAGACAGTTGTGAAATAATTCAGTAATGGTACAAGATTTCAGAAAGTTGATTTTTAAAAACAAATATCAAAATTATATCTCTGGATAAGAATTTTTATATTTTGGTGGTCATTTTCAGTAGCAGTGTTCAGAATGTTTTTAGAACGCCTTTCCTGAATTAACTTCTGAGTACAGTTCTATACAATTTCCCTATTTATTGAGTACCTATTGTGTGCTGTTGGGGGAAGGGGTCTATAAAGGTAAGAGAAACATGGTCCCTGTCCGCTAGGAGGTCATAATCCCTCTGAGAGGCACACCTTTTTTTTTTTTTTCCTGAGATTGCAATATTCTTTGTCTTCTGGAGAGTTTTAGTGTGGGAAATCTGGAAATCTGTTAAAATGACACTAAAATGTTTCCAGGCTTCTATGGCTTTTTTTTTTTTTTGAGGCAGGATCTCACTATTACTCAGGCTGGAGTCCAGTGGCGCGATCTTGGCTCACTGCAACCTCCATCTCCTGAGTTCAACTGGTTCTCGTGCCTCAGCCTACCAACTAGTTGGGACTAGAGGCACACACCACCACTCCTGGCTAATTTTTGTATTTTTAGTAGAGACACGGTTTCACCATGTTGGCCAGGCTGGTCTTGAACTCCTGGCCTCAGGTGATCCACCCGCCTTAGCCTCCCAAAGCACTGGGATTACAGGTGTGAGGCACTGCACCCAGCCCAAGAGGCACACTTTTGTTGTTTGTTTGTTTTTTGAGACGGAGCCTTTCTGTCACCCAGGCTGGAGTGCAGTGGCGCCATCTTGGCTCACTGCAAGCTCTGCCTTCCAGGTTCAAGCGATTCTCCTGCCTCAGTCTCCGAGTAGCTGGGACTACAGGCATGCACTACCACTCCTGGCAATTTTTTGTATTTTTTAGTAGAGATGGGATTTCACCATGTTGACCAGACTGGTGTCCAACTCCTGGCCTCAAGTGATCCACCCACCTTGGCCTCTCAAAGTGCTGCGATTTCAGGCATGAGTTGCCGCCCCAGGCCAAGGGGCACACTTTTAAATAATACATGGTATAATCTTATTCTGAATGGTCTCATTGATGACGGAACTTTTTACTTTGAAATTTTGATTTTTAGAAATGCTGAAGGTTAGTCAATTTCAAATAGAGTGAATAAAGAATAGTTTTGCCTTAAATTCAGTTAATCACAGAAATGGGAATAATTTTCTTGGTTGACTTATTAGCTGATTTTGAAAACACTCCCAAGGAGGAAGTTGGGAATATTTTGAACAGGGGTGATAGCTTCACATGTAGTTAGTTAGGCACTACATAAATGTTGGTTGAGTGCATCAGCTGGTTGGATGGATGGAGTGAATAAATGAGTAAGTGGTAGCCTTCCAAAGTAACTTATTTTAAAGAGGACCATACTGATTTGAATATGTAAATAAATTCTTTTTAAAAAATTCATTTTTCTCAGATGAAATAAATTCTGAGGATATTTGTTAATAATTTTATTACCTTGAGCAAGATAGTTTAAGTTCACAAATGAGTTTTACAGACAGTAAGTGCTGTAGGAGTTCAGGGAAGGGAGAAATGAACATTGGCTAAGGTTTGGTGAAATGATTTAAGTGAACCATACTTTAGCTTGATATTTGAAAAGATTCCTTAGGGATCTCAGAGAGGAACTAAATGACTCCAAATTTCTCTTGCAGCCCTAAAGTGAACCTAGAGTCTGGATCTATTTTTGTCTGAATGCTTTCTGCCTGTTTCGTTTTAGCTACTCCTACTGGTTTGTTCCTTTCAGATTCACATTTGTTTGGTAGATGTTGAGCCCCCTGAAACAACTGTGGGGTCTGTTTTCCATCTTTGTATAGTGTAACTTTTAGTTGTTCTTTTATGAGCCTGTACACCACAAATTACTTGGCCTTCATGAGAGAAGAGCATGAGTCAACTTGGCCCTGTTATCCTGGCATTTTCCTGCATGCTTTTCTGAAAGCTGCTTTCTGAATTACGGAATAGAATAGACAGAACTGAGGGCATGTGTCCAGTAGACACAAGCTTGTTGAATGAATGAATGAATGAATGAATGAATGAGATATTTGAAATAATTTAGATCTGAATTGTCTATATGTTTTATGTTTCTTTTTCATTTATTCATAACCTGCCTTTTTCTACAAAGGACTTAATGGGGCTGCCAGACTATACGCACTAGCAGTGAATTGAGATAATTCAAGAAGTCTGGTTAAAGAGATGGTGAAGAAAAGAAAAATCTGTTTAAAGAATATAGATCAATGTGTATGGATGTTAGAGAACTAGGAATAAGGTAGAAGATGAGCAGATGGGGAAGGAAAAGTGGTATCTGATAGAAAGGGTGATTCTGAAGGAAGGAAAAGATTACTGAAATATGACAAGCTATGTTTGGAGGAAAGCATGAGAAGATGGAAGGTAAAGAGGATTATTTGAGAAGGCTGTTCTGAGGAGGAAGATAGTAAGGCTATTTGAAGGATAAGAGTCAACAGAAGGTTGGAATATAGTAGAATCTATTAAATTATGTTGATTTGTAACTGGGGGTTTCAGAAAATAATGGAATGAGTTTTCTTTAATAGATAATGCACATTTGTTATATGCAAAAGCATATAATGCTTTGCTGTCAGGAATAAATCCTTTGGGATTTATATTCTGGTAGGGCAGCTGGGCTTGTGCACAAATACCTGTACTGTAATCACAAATATATCTATGAGTCACAAATATACCAAATATTACTGAATTTAAAAGACAGAAAATGCATTTGATTAGGAGAAAACCTGAGACATCATTTTAATGGCATAAAAGTGGAATTTTAGCTAGTCTTTGAAGGGATTGATAAGATTCTTTTTTTTTTTTAAGTTTTGGATTGATAGGATTTTGATTTGCAAAGATTACTGAAAGAGAGCATTCCTGCCTGAGAGATTAGCATAAGCAAAGCTGTGGAGGTGAGAAGCCCAGGAGATGTGGGGAATGGTAAGTTAGGTTTAAATTTTTAAACTATGACCTGTAGTAAGAAATACATGTCACATTTCCATCTAATTTATGCATGTGTGAATGTTTTTGTGTGGGTAAAACAAAAAGTTTCATAATACAGTAACTGTCCTTACAATGGTAGATGCAGTTGGATGTTGTCTATTTTGTTTGACTAAAAAGAAAAAAAGCTGGCCAAGGGGGAAGAAAAAAAAAGCTGATTGTTCCTCATTAAACTGATTTCATGACTGACAAAATAATTGATCACAATCTATAGTTTGGAACACATAGAGTTCATGAATAAGGTATAATACAAGGTAGGAGAGTCAGTTGGGGGTGGGTTGAAAATGGATGGCCTTGAAAGCTAAGCTAAGTAGTTTGTATTTGATATGATGTAGTGTTGTGCTTGGTAAGCAAACAGAAGCTGGGGTTTAGTCTTGGCTCTTCTGTTTACCCACTGTATGATTATGGAGAATTATTTCCTTTCTGAGTTTCCATTTTCTCATCAAATTGATAATCATACTTTCCTGGCAAGGGTTATGGCGAGGATGTGAGAATTAAAGTATGTTAACATAGGATTAAAGTATGTTAGCATACATCATTAGTGTATAACTGTTGAACTTTTCTGAGTAGAGAGTTGAGCCAAGGACTGGATATTAGATAGCTTCACCTGGCTGTAGCTATACCTTACTGGATAGATTGTGGGTAATATGGTGGTAGAGTAAGATTGTATGTGAAAAGACCAGTTAGGAAAAAAAAAGCCCAGTTAGGTGGCTACTGGAGAAATTAAGAAGGGCTTGAATTAGTTTGATAGCAATAAGATTAGAATATGGGAGTGGAATGCAATTGGAGGTAGGGAAGAGGGGAAGATGACTAGAAATGCACTATTTATTTATTTATTATTAATGAATGAACGAACATCAGGCTCTTGATCTGTTGCCCAGGCTGGAGTGCAGTTATGTGAACACGGCAGCTCACTGCAGCCTCTACCTCATGGGCTCAAGTGATCCTCTTGCCTCAGCCTTCTGAGTACCTGGGACCACAGGCATGTGCCACCACGCCTGGCTAATTTTTAATATTTTTTGTAGAGATGTGGTCTCACCATGTTGCCTGGGCTGATCTCAAATTCTTGGGCTCCAGTGATCCCCTCCCTTGGCTTTCCGAAGTGTTGGAATTACAGGTGTGAGCCACCATGCCTGGCTGACTGGAAATTTAGAGTTGTAGAGATATTCAAATGGCAGCAGCTGAAATTGGGTTATATTTTTGGGTAGTTTAGTGGAGTACATTAGAGTATAGTTTCAGTTTCTTTCATGTAGTAGGTGCTCAATTATTTGTTGAATGACAGAAACTAAATATGTGAACTATGGGATGAATTGTGAGTAGAAGCAGTGATGGGTGGATATGAGAAGGAGGGTAAGACTGAAGGATACTTTGATGGACTGCCAGAATTAATTCATTCAGGGAATATTTTTATATTTACTGTGTGCAAGGTTCTATGGTAGGGAGTGTGAAGGATACATGTTTATATATGACACAGTCTGTGTGCTTCAGGAATTTATCCAGGGACAAAATATACACATCCGTCTATGACACAAGTACTATGGCAGGTTTGTTCAGGGTTGGCTTTGTGGAGAAATTAGTGGTATAGCTTAGACCTTGAGGGATAAATAAGATAATAGGCAAAATGGTGAGGGTTGGCCTTCCTAGAAGAAGGAGTGATATGAGTGACAGTGAGCAGAGTTCAGGGTATGTTTAGGGGTTGGTGGTCTAGATTAGCTATAATTTAGGGTTCATGTTGAGGAATGGAGGGAAATAAAACTGGAAAGTAGGCAGACTATCTCAAAATTCAGGCTAACTTGGATTTTGAAAATTTATTGAGATACATACAGTAAAGTGCTCCAATCTTAAGGGTACTTAGGTATAAATTTATGTAGCCACCACCCAGTTCAATATACAGGACATTTCCAACTTCCAGAAGGATGCCTCATGTGCGATTTCCAAGCTGATATCTCATCCAACCAAAAATAACTATTATTCTGACTTTTGTCATACCAGAGTAGTGTTGTGTGTTTTTGAATTTTGTATAAGTGGAACCCAATTTCTGTGTCTAGTTTCTTTTTCTCAAGGAGCATGTCTGTGAGTTTTATCCATGTTATGTTAGGCAGTTGTTTATTCTTTTTCATTGCTGTGTGATATTCCATCATATGAATATACCACAGTAGATTTATCTACTCCATGATTATTGGATGGTTTCAAGTTTTTTGAAGTCTGAGGATTTTTTTTTTTTTTGGAGGCAGAGTCTCACTCTGTCACCCAGGCTGGAGTGGTGCGATGTCTGCTCACTGCAACCTCCGCCTTCTGGGTTCAAGCAATTCTGCTGCCTCAGCCTCCTGAGTAGCCAGGATTACAGGCACGTGACCCCACGCCCAGCTAATGTTTGCATTTTTAGTAGAGACAGGGTTTTGCCGTATTGACCAGGCTGGTCTCAAACTCCTCACCTCAAGTGATCTGCCCACCTCGGTCTCACAGAATGCTGGGATTACAGGCATGAGCCACCATTCCCGGCTGAAGTCTGAGGAGTTTTAACTTAAGTCAGTATGCAGTGGAGAACTGTTGTTGATTTTTGAATGGGTAAGTAAGAGAATATTTAAGAATACTAATCTAGTGACCTTTCTTTTTTTGTAATGAAGAGAACCTGGTGGCTGGGAGACAAAGTTAGGAAAAAGTGTGAAGTAGGCTGGACACAGTGGCTCACGCCTGTAATCTCAGCATTTTGGGAGGCTGAGGAGGGCAGATTGCTTGAGCTCAGGAGTTTGAGACCAACCTGGGCAACATGGCGAAACCTTATCTCTACAAAGATAAAAAAAAATTAGCCGGGCGTGGTGTTACATACCTGTAGTTCCAGCTGCATGGGAGGCTGAGGCAGGAGAATTGCTTGAACCCAGGAGGCAGAGGTTTCAGTAAGCCGAAATCTACACTCCAGCCTGGGTGACAGAAGGAGACCCTGTCTCAAAACAAAAACAAAAACAAACCCAAAGTGAAGTATTGAGGATGTAAGTTGGGCCGTCATAGTGGGAATAAAAGGAGAGGGATAGATATAAGAAATACCTCAAAGAAAGAATGGGAAGGTTTGATGGCAGATAGGCTTTTGGGAAACAGCAGAGAAAAAAGAAAACTGAAGAAAAGCTCTAGGGCTTTTAATCGGGGTGACTGAGATTGATGGTGCCATTAGTAGAAATTATTAGATCACTTAGCAGAACTGTTTTGGGGTTTTAAGACACATTGACCTGTGTATGAGGCATCAGTACTGGATTGGAGCTAAGAAAAGAAGTCCAATATAGAGTTGGGAATACATACATAGAGTTGATAATTGCAGCTACTAATTCTGGATTGAGTTAGGGCACTGACGGTTATGAAATTATTTGGACTGATAATTGAAGTGTTAATTGAAGTAATAGTTGAAGAATCTAGTTAAAAAGAAATCATTATATATTCCAATTCTAGTTAAAAAGAAATTATTATGTATTCTAATTCCTCGGGAGTAAATTGGATTGTAGGAGAGGGTGATGGTTTAAAGATTATTTTGGGTAGCTGGGGGAAGATAGCCATATGAAGAATGAAAATGTAGAAACAGTGGTGAGGGATGAGACCCTTAGTAGCTAAGAATTATAGGGGGCTCCAGGTCAGAACTTGGGAAGATATCCACAATTTGGACTAGGAAGAGCAGCAGTGATTTCAGATAGAAGAAACAACCAGAGACATCAGAGTAGAATCATGCGCTACAGTGACATAAAGCAAGGTGGATAGCTCAAGTGTCATTGCCAAAAAGAGGGTAAGGACTGGCTGAGCATAGTGGCTCATACCTGTTATTTCAGCACTTTGGGAGGCTGAGGTGGGCATATTGCTTGAGCTCAGGAGTTTGAGACCATCCTGGGCAACATGATGAAACCTCGTCTCTACAAAACATAATAAACTTTGCTGGGTGTGGTGGCTTGCGCTTGTAGTCCCAGCTACTTGGGGGGCTGAGGTGGGAGGATCACTTGAGCCTGGGAGGTGGAGGTTGCAGTGAGCTGGTATCGCACCACTGCACTCCAGCCTGGGTGACAGAGTGAGAGCCCGTCTCAAAAAGAGCAGTTCAGAGACCAGAGTGCATGGGGATTTACTGAGTGGGTTGGAAGAATATGGAAGCAATAAATACAGGAATTGAATAAAGAAGTTTAGTTTGAGAAGGAAGAACAACAACTCTTATTCTAAAACTGGAGGCAAGAAGTAACAGATGGGTGGAGATATAACATTTTAGAAACTGTGAAGAGGATTTGATTACAGGTGGAGAAGGTGTGATTTGAGGGAGTTTTATAGAAGGGTTTGAGTATTTGATGGGATTAGGGATTTAAATATGAAAATGATTTGGATTAGTCAATGAGATGGAGAGTTGTATTTAGAATAAATGTGTTGTGGAAGATTTCATAGCTTTCTGGTGGTGCTTAACACCCAGTGCGTGGGTGTGGAGGAAACAGATGGTGAGGATTGTCTATCACTGGGGAGATGCATAGTGAGAATAATGGAAGGTCATGATATTCTGGAGAGGACAGTGTTAAAATGACTGTTGGACAGGTTTAAGTTATATAGGGAGACAATACAGCCAAGTGGAGGTAAAGAGCAGGTCTACAACTAGAATATAAAGTGGTTGTGGATAAAGAAAAGGGGAGTGGTCTCTGAAGTTATAATCCTAGTGGATTGTAAATTTTTTTTTCTTTCAGACAGGGTCTCACTCTGTCACCCAGGCTGCAGTACAGCGGCATCAGCTCACTGCAGCATCTGCCTCCCGGGTTCAAGTGATTCTCCTGCCTCAGCCTCCCTAGTAGCTGGGATTACAGGCATGAGCCACCATGTCCGGCTAATTTTCTGTATTTTTAATGGAGACAGGGTTTCACCATGTTGCCCAGGCTGGTGTTGAACTCCTGACCTCAAGTGATCCACCTGCTTTGGCCTCCCAAAGTGTT